ATAAGTATTTACTGAAAGAATGACTCACAACCAAAGAAAAAAATTAAAACCAGGACAGCTCACAGAATTTGACTATCATATCAGCAAAGATTAAAAGAACAAAAATGCCTATTTTTCTTTCTAACACTCTGTATATTGTCTGACATTACATTTATGTGATTGTTTATTGTTTGTCTCCCCCTGACTAAAACAGAACCTCCACAAGGGCAGGGACTTGGTTTTATTCACAGCTGTATTCTTAGCACCTATAAGTGCCTGGCATATAGTAAGTGTTCAGTAAATATTTACCAAAAAAAATTGACAATATCTGGGAGTGACTAGGTAGTGGAGAAAAGAGTATGGTAAGAATATAATTGGCGCACAATTTCTCTAGGAAATTTGGCAATATATATCAAAAGCTCTCAAAGGGGGCATACCTATTGACTTCACACTCACTTCTAAGAGGAACTTATCTTAAACAAGCAAATGAACAAGGGTACAAAGATTACTTATGAGGGACTTTATACTGTGTTGTTTATGACAAAGAAAGTTTAGAAATGTCAGCATGGGGTGCCTGGGTGGCTCAGATGGTTAAGCGTCTGCCTTCGGCTCAGGTCATGATCCCAGGGTCCTGGGATCGAGTCCCGCATCGGGCTCCCTGCTCCTTGGGAGCCTGCTTCTCTGTCTCTCTCTCTCTGTCTCTCATGAATAAATAAATAAAATCTTAAAAAAAAAAAAAAAAGAAATGTCAGCATGATATCCTTTAATAGGAAGTTATAAATATAATTATAAATCTGTACAATGAAATATATTAAAAATATTTTGGAGGAGGGGCACCTGGGTGGCTCAGGTTATGATCTCAGGGTCCTGGGATCAAGCCCCCTGTTGGGCTCCCTGCTCAGCAGGGAGCCTACTTGTCCCTCTGCCCCTCCTCCCTGCTCATGTTCTCTTTCTCTCTCTCTCAAATAATTAAGTAAAATCTTTAAAAAAAAAAGTTCCTCCTTGTTAAAAAATATTGGGGGGGCGCCTGGGTGACTTAGTCGTTACACGTCTGTCTTCGGCTCAGGTCATGATCCCAGGGTCCTGGGATCGAGTCCCACATCAGGCTCCCTGCTCGGCAGGAAGCCTGCTTCTCCCTCTCCCACTCCCCCTGCTTGTGTTCCTGCTCTCGCTATCTCTCTCTCTGTCAAATAAATAAATAAAATCTTTTAAAAAAAAATATTGGGGAGGCATGTATTTATTGGTGCAGCAAGAGATAAAAAGTGTATTAAAAGGCAAGCTAGGGCGCCTGGGTGGCTCAGTTGGTTAAGCGACTGCCTTTGGCTCAGGTCATGATCCTGGAGTCCCTGGATCGAGTCCCGCATCGGGCTCCCTGCTCGGCAGGGAGTCTGCTTCTCCCTCTGACCCTCCCCCCTCTCATGTGCTCTCTCTCATTCTCTCTCTCAAATAAATAAATAAAATCTTAAAAAAAAATAAAAATAAAAAAAAGAGAGTATGTGAACTAATAAAAAAAAAAAATTAAAAAAAAAAAAAAAGGGACACCTGGGTGGCTCAGTTGGTTAAGCGACTGCCTTCGGCTCAGGTCATGATCCTGGAGTCCCAGGATCGAGTCCCGCATCAGGCTCCCTGCTCGGCAGGGAGCCTGCTTCTGCCTCTGACCCTCCCCCCTCTCATGTGCTCTCTCTCTCTCATTCTGTCTCAAATAAATAAATAAAAATCTTAAAAAAACAAAACAAAACAAAAAAAAAAGGCAAGCTAAAAAACTCCATATGTAGGGGCGCCTGGGTGGCTCAGTTGGTTAAGCATCCACCTCTTGGTTTCAGCTCAGGTCATGGTCTCAGGGTCCCGAGATCGAGCCCTGTGTTGGGCTCCTAGTTCAACGTGGAGTCTGCTTGGGATTCTCTCCCTCTCCCTCTGCTCCTTCCCCCGCTCTCTCTCTCTCTCTAAAAATAAATAAAATCTTAAAAGAAAAGCCCACATGGGGCACCTGGGTGGCTCAGTCGGTTAAGGGTCTACCTCCCGCGCAGGTCATGATCCCAGGGTCCTGGGATAGAGTCCCGCATCGGGCTCCCTACTCAGCAGGGAACCTGCTTCTCCCTCGCCCTCTGCCTGCCGCTCCGCCTGCTTGTGCTCTCTCTCTCGCTCTATCAAATAAATAAATAAAATCTTTTTTAAAAAATTAGAAAACCCCACATGTATAGCAAAATTTCATTTTTGCAAAAACATACGGGGAAGACACATACATGGGTATGTATGAATGCACACAGGCATTTACAGATAAAAGTTTGGATGGACATACTTCAAAATGTCAACACTGGTTGGTGTTTTTTGGATGGTGAGATTAACAGGAATTTTAATTTTCTTCTACATATATTTCTAAACTTTTTGTAATTAGGTCAACAAAAACTATCTGAACAGGTTCGGCGTCTATAAATGGGAAACAAAAAGCAATTAAGTATTATGAAAAACACAGACACACTTCATAAACTTAATGAAGACTAGAGCCCAGGTTTAGAACCAGGAGTTCAGAAATGTTAACTACAGTATTGTAGATGGTTTTCTGATTTCCTGAATTCAAGCAAGTTGTTTTCTCAGTCAATATTTGTAAAAAAGAAAAAAATAAATAAATAGAACTTGCTTCTTTTATTTCATTGCCTGCCAAGCTTGAGAAGGTTAGGCTTGATTGAAAAATAACACAAAGTGTAGCAAAAGCTATCATTGATACTAGGCATTCTCCTTGCATTGCCTCATTAAAAACCTTCTAATGGTCCTGCCAGGTATCAACATTCTCAAGTGCAAAAGCTGAGAGAGGTGACAGAACTTGTCAAAGCTCTTGCAGCTGCTGTGGGGGAGATCCTGATTTGAAGAGGTCTCCCTGACTGCAGGGTCTTCAGGGAAAGCTAGACAAAGGAGCTTTAGGCTTTAACCTTGCAAGTCTCTTACTGCCTCTGATCTTTTACATGGTTATCCTACTGCCCTATTTAATTTGCACAAATGATAAAAGGAGAACGAGCCTGGAATTTTTAAGAAAATTGGAGTAAGTATATGGAGAAGCAAGATTTACACTGGGTACTATTCAAAAGGCTCAAGATGAAAATGCTTGGTTGGGTAGTCAGAGGGGAGGGGAGCAGTTTGAGCACACATCCGTATGTGTGTGAAGGGCCACAAGAGACACCACAGACTGGGATAAGGATGACATCTATGCACTTGAAGAAGGGAGCTGGGCCAGGATGAGGGAAGTTGGACAGTACCTGGGAGGAAAAGGAGCTGGTAGATGGACAAAGTTTAAGGAGGACTGAGAGAAGAGGCAATAGGAAAGAGGAAAAACTAGGAAGAAAGGCAGTTGTGAGTTATTCTGCAGTATTTTTTCCTTCCACCTTTTTTTCTCCCTTTAGTCTTTTCCTTGCTGATCTCAGTCACAATTCGACCCTCAGGGCTCTTTTCTACTTGGATGATTACCAAATCTCTCCAGTCCTGACTTTTCTCCAGAGTCCCAGAGTCCTCTCCTCTGAGGTCCAAACTGAATGCAGAATCTCTTCTGCCTCAAGCTTGCTCCTACTCTTGTACTTGCTCTCACTTAATCAAACATCCATTTGAACTGTTCTCTCTCCTCTCTTCCTTCAACCATTCTTTCATCCAACAAATATTTACTGTGGGTCTATTACGTCCTACACACTGCTATTCACTTACCAAGTTGGCTCACTTCTACTTTGAAAATCTCTTCTGTCCATCTCATCTAAATTCTTAACTGAGATTTACTGAGAATCCTTCATGCTTGAACCATGGCTACACAGGACTATAAGTTAATTGGTTTTGCATGCCATTCATTTTGTAATGACCACCTAGCATTTAGCATTATACCTGGGAAACAAAAGGGGCTCGCAGTGGAGACTTAGGGACTGCAAACTAGCTGGGATTGGAGGAGCAGAAGCTAGGAGATATGTCTTGAAGGAGTATTTGCATATGAAGAAAGGTGTCTTCCTTAAATTCTTGGTTACAGATCTATACAAATAACACCAGCATGAGGATGCTTTTATTTCTGGGGTGTGGCCATGGGAGTCTGGGAAGACTGCTGAAGTCTGATGTTGAGAGTCTTCTGATAGAGAGAAAGCCTGTCCACCTCCCACCCCTTGAATACTCAATAGTCACTTGTTGAATATATCACCTTCCATGAGAGGGGCCACGGATGTTGTGTTCTCCTTAGTATCCCCAGGGCCTAGCACATTTAGCCCACATTAGGGGTTCAGTAAATATCTGTGGAGGATTCTAGAAAGGCAGGGACCGCAGATATTTCATTCATCTCAGGAAGAAGGACAAAGACTAAGGCGCTCGAGGGAAAAAGAAACAGAGCAAGATATTTCCCTCCCTATTCCTTTAGAGCTTGGTAAATGTTTGCTAAGTGAAATAAATCGCCCTCCTGCACAACTCCAAAATCGGGCCCCTCGCTCGACTGCCAGGCCCTGGAGCGCGGCCACCATCTGGCTCAGGCTCAGGCCCGCGCTTCCCTCTTTCCCAGCCCAGGCTCCTGTTACCTCCCTGCACACATCTGTACCCACCACAGGCCAAACAATTACACGCTCCCGCGGCCCTGCCTCGAGATCCGGGACAGCCCCCAGGACTGCGCCCCTTCAGTCCCCCGCCCCCCACCCCGGGTCCAAGGGAGCCCGCGGCCCGGCCTGAGGCCGCCGCCTGCAGCGGGCTCACGCACCCCCCGCCGCAGGCGCGCCAGACGCCGTCCATGTGCTCGGCCGCAGTCGCCAGCCCCGGCCCGCTGAGGCTGGAGCGGGGAGCCCGGGAGGCCCGGCGGCGGTGGCCCAGGCCAGCGGCGCTCCTCAGGGCGGGAGAGGCCGGCGGGCGGCGAGGCGGGAAGCGGCTGCAGCTGTGAGGCGCCAAGGGGCGGGAGGCGGGGGCGCAGGGGACAGCGGGCCAAGCCGGGGAGGGGGGCGCGAAGATGCGCGGCCCGAGCCGGGGCGGCACTCCCGCCGCGGCGGGGCTTGGCGAGCGGCGGCTCGTTCACTCACCACAGTCCGGCGGGGCAGTGCTCCGGGGGTCCGGGACAGGGCCCGGCGGAGCCTTCGCGTCCTGCTCGAGCGGGCCCCCCCGGAACTCTCGGAGCCGCTGTCGTCCGAGATCACGATGAAGTCCTCCATGGCTGCGGGCCCCGGCCGAGGCAGCGCGCGGGCGGCCGGCGACCCGGGCGGCGGCGGCGGTAGCGGCGGCGACTTCGGTTCCTGCTGCTGAGGCGGCAGCGGCGACGGTAGCGGCGGCGGCGGCGGCGGCGGCGACAACCGGAGCCATCACCCCGCCGGCCCCGCCCCTTCCCGCCCCGAGCCCCGCCCCCGCTAGCCGGCCCCGCCCCGCCCCGCCCCTCCTGAGCCTGCCTCCCCCGCCCCCGGCGGCGGGCGATCGGGTCAGGGCCGCGGGCGCTGTGCTAGGCGGGGGCAGGGGGCACTCGTCCTCCCTTCCTAGGGAGGAAAAAGGAGAGAGAAAAATCAAGTCGCAGCCGGCTTGGGCCGGTGTTGCGGGCGTGCTTGCGTGAGGCTGAGACTGAGAAGGCTTCCCCACCTGTTTCCAACCGACGCCAAGTGTGAAGTGAGGTGGGAACAGGCCTCTGACTGAGCCCGCGTCCACTAACTGCCCTTGAGGGGAGGGACCTGGCCTCCGACAGATGGGGTGGAGGAGCCTCCGACTGACTGAGGGTAGGTGGCCTGGCCTGTGGCCAAGTGGGGCACAGAGGCCCCACTTCCTTGTGCACATGTGCAGTATGTTTGTAGGATAGATTCCTAGAAGTGGAATTACTGGGTCAAAGGTGATGTTTCTGCTGTTTCGATAAATGATGCCAAATTACTCCTAAGTTGTACCAGTTGGCAGTTTCACCAACAATCTGTGTCACTCAGGAATTTACACTGTGAGATTTAGACACTTGTACAGTTGGTAGCAGGATCAGAACCTTGAAAAAATGCACAAAGAGAAGCCATGAGGTAGCACACGCCAGGAATAATTAGATGTTATGAATGAGCAAAGCTATAAAGGTAAAAAGAAAGATATACCCCATAGAGGGAGAAGTGGTAGGTAGTGGCTGGTTGTAGTGTAGGAATATTAAAATCAAGATAGGATCTGTGTTACAATAAATGTGGGTTATTGACAAAAATCCTGTTGCTCATGCTCTAGCAACTTGGTATATGTGTTGACGGGTCCAACGGGAAATTGTATTTATCCGAAGAGGGATTGTTTCCCAAAGGAATGGTTGTCAGGTGCTACCTAAGCACTGTCTAGTGCAGTGATTCTCTAACTTTAGAGAGTATCACAATCACCAAGAAGACTTGTTCAAACACCGATTGCTGGGCCCTACCCCAGAGTTTCTAAATCTGGGGTAGGTCTGTATGAGGCTCTGAATTTGTATTTCTGAAATTTCCCAGGTAATGTTGATGCTGCTCTTCTGGGGACCATGCATTGAAAACCACTGGTCTGGTGGGCGAGGAGTCTACGGCCAATGGATTTCAGAAGTTCTGGTCAAACGACTAAAATCATCCCTGTTGTGAAGGGATTCATTAAGTTGTCTTCACCAAATGCCATTAGACATTTGGTTTATTTAACTCCCTGTTTCTTTTTTTTTTTTTTTCTTCAAGGTTTTATGTATATGAGAGAGAGAGAGTGAGAGAGAGCATGAGAGGGAGAGGGTCAGAGGGAGAAGCAGACTCCCCGCCAAGCGGGGAGCCTGACTTGGGACTTGATTCTGGGACTCCAGGATCATGACCTGAGCTGAGGGCAGCTGCTCAACCAACTGAGCCACCCAGGCGCCCGTAACTCCCTGTTTCTGGAAACACCATCTTCTCAAGACTTCTGTGACTCTGCACCTCTCTTACTTCTTTTCAGTCTTCTTAGATGACTCCTGATCCTCTACACACTCCTTAAATCTTGATGTTCCTCAGAGGTCTGACATAGGCCACCTTCACACACCTCTTCCTACACAATGTCAACTATTCCTGTGGCTTTAAATGATAATTTTCATGCCGATGACTCCCTAGGTTTATCTCTAGCCCTGTCCTCAAAGCTCCAGATATATGTATCCAAATGTGTATCAAACCTCATAGGCATCTCAAGTTGAATATGTCTAAAACCGAATCCCTGTCCCCTCAAATAAAAGCCTGCTTCTTCTTCTCTGTTCCTTATCTCAGTGAATGGTGGTACTACCAGCCAGCAAATGCTCAAGTGAGAAATCTGAGCATAATGCTTGATTTCTACTTCTTTCTCACCAACAAATCCTGTCTCTTTTTATCTCCTAAATATTTTTTGCACCCCTTCACTTATTTTGGCCTCTACTGTTATGACTTTAGGCCAGCTAAGACCACCTCTGGCCCAGTCTACTAGAGCAGCCTCCTATCTCGTCTTCCTGCATCTATTCTTGCCCTCTCTCATTCCTTTTCCCACATTCAGCCAAAGTGATCTTTAAGAGACTATGTAATCAAACTGCCTTAGTGGCTTCCTAATAACACTATGTCTTAGTTGGCTTAGGCTGCCATAACAAAATGACATGGTCAGGTTACTTAAACAATAGAAATTTATTTTCTCACAGTTCTGGAGGCTGGAAAGTCCAAGATCAAGGTGCTGGCCAATTTGGTTCCTCTCTCTTTGGATTGCAGATTTCTTGTTATATCCTCCCATGGTCTTTCCCCAGTGGATGCATACAGGGAGAAAGAGAGGGAGAAAGAGGGGAGGGAGGGAGGGAGAGAGGGGAAGGGAGAAAGAGAAAGGGAAGGAGAGAGGAAGAGAAAGAGGGAGAAAAGAAGGGAGGGAGGGAGGGAGAGAGGGGGAGGGAGAGAGAGAAAGAGAGAGAGCTCTCTTCTTTATAAGGCCACTAATCCCAGCATGAGGGCCCCATCTGCATGTCTAATCTAACCTTAATTACCTCTCAAAGACCCCATCTCCAAATACTATCACATTGGGGGTTAGAATTTTAGGGGAACACAAACATAACACTACAAACTTTTAAATATAAAGATTATATATATATGTGTGTGTGTGTGTTAAGTGTTATATTTATATATAGTAAATATATGATTTCACCGTAAGTAAATTTTACCCTAAAAAAAAAAAAAACAGGGAAAAAATTTTGAACTCTATGATATGTATGCTATAGTGAAGGGGTGAAGTATACTGATGTTTGTAAGTTACTTTGAAATGCATCAAAAATAAGATAGGTGAATGTGTGGATGGATAGATACAGATAAAGCAAATATAGTAAAATGTTAACATTGTCAAATCTACATGGTAGTTATACAGCTGTTTACTTTAACTTTTATGTAAATTTGAATGTTTTCATATTGAGAAAAAATTTAAAATTAATAAAGTGAATTATGATTTTCCCACAATTTTAAAAAGTTTTTTTAAAAAAAGGAGAGAGGGCGCCTGGGTGGCTCAGTTGGTTAAGCGACTGCCTTCGGCTCAGGTCATGATCCTGGAGTCTCCGGATCGAGTCCCGCATCGGGCTCCCTGCTCGGCAGGGAGTCTGCTTCTCCCTCTGACCCTCCCCCCTCTCATGTGCTCTCTCTCATTCTCTCTCTCAAATAAATAAATAAATAAAATCTTTAAAAAAAAAAAAAAGGAGAGAGAAGGGGCATCTGGGTGGCTCAGTTGGTTAAGCATCTGCCTTCGGCTCAGGTCACGATCCCAGGGTCCTGGGATCGAGCCCCGCATCAGGCTCCCTGCACAGTGGAGAGCCTGCTTCTCCCCTCTCCCTCTGCTGCTCACCCTGCTTGTTCTCCCCTCCCCCAGTCAAATAAATAAATAAAATATTTTTAAAAAAGGAGAGAGAAGATTATAATGAAACCCATGTGCCCGTCATCCAGCTTCAAGAATGATCAATCTTACTCCATTTATATTCTCACTCACTCTCTCACCCCCACCTTCCTGAATTATTTTAAAGTAAATCCAAGACATTACACTGTTTATTCTAGAGATATTTCAGTTTGTATCTTTAAAAGATAAGGAATCTTGGGGTGCCTGGGTGGCTCAGTCGTTAAGTGTCTGCCTTCGGCTTAGGTCATGATCCCAGGGTCCTGGGATGGAGCCCAGCATCGGGCTCCCTGCTCCGCGGGAGGCCTGCTTCTTCCTCTCCCACTCTCCCTGCTTGTGTTCCCTCTCTCGCTGTGTCTCTGTCAAATGAATAAGTGAAATCTTAAAAAAAAAAGATAAGAAATCTTCATTTAACAATTTGTCAAGCACATATGCTGTACTCAGGGGGTACAGTAGTGAACAAGGTAGACATAGTCTCTGGTTTATGATGATTATAGTTTATAAGGAAGACAAACAATAAACTAATAAATAATTATAAATTATGATAATTACCAGTTTGAGAAATCTTAACTTGTGAGATATAAATATGAAACAATTTTATTGTTTCTCCAATAACAATTACCACTGTCTCTAGAAATCCTCTTGGTCTCTGACAGTGAATTCCCTTAAGAATATCCTACTCTAGGGGCACCTGGGTGGCTCAGTTGGTTAAGCATCCAACTCTTGATTTTGGCTTAGGTCATGATCTCAGGGTCATGGGATCTAACCCCACGTGGGGCTCTACACTCAGCTCAGGGTCTGCTTGTCCCTCTCCCTCCCCCTCTGCCCCACCCCTGCGGTCTCTCTCTCAAATAAATAAATAAAATCTTAAAAAAAAAAAAAAAGAATATCCTACTTTGGTCCCATAACTATGAAGTCACTTTCAGTAACTAATACAGTCTCTTTCCAAGTATTATGTTTTAGGCTTGCCCATTTAAAATCTTTAATCTCATATTTAATTCATAGCTCTTCCCATTCTTCTGTGCAGGTAGACTTGTGGTTATAATAGCCATTAGTGGAGGGGGTGGTAATGTCCTCTTCTTTCCCCTTGGCTCTTGTTTCCTCCCAAGTAGGGATGAGGAGGAGGAGAGAATGTTCTCTGCAAGACTGTCCAGGAAGAGTTGCTTGTTATCTTTCTGCTGGTTGTTGCTACTTCAGTAACAGTTCTCTCAGTGTGTCAGGAGCCCAGATGCCAGCAGTCTTACTTGGACTGGGCACAGTTGCTCTCTGGGGCCTCCCCTTTGCACTTCCCAACCTAGGAGAAGTCAGTATTAACCTCTTTCTCCCAGGCATCCCCACCAGTCCCTGTCAGGGGCAATCTAATACATAGCCTTTTGTTTTGGGGGGATCCTTGCCTGGAGTGGCTTCTTGGGGAGTGCCAGCAAGAGCCTTAAGCCTCAGGGATCTTCTGCGCTGTCTAGTTGACTCACACATGGAGAATTTACATGCTTAATGCAAGAAGGAAGGAAACGCAGGTAGTTCTCGTCCTTATGGCCCCTATCTCAGCACCAACTAGCTCTTTTCTCCCTTCCTTCACACCCAAGGACAACAGGGGCTCATTCAAGTCAGTGGTTCAGCGATTTTCAGACAAGTTCTCAGCTTGGGGAATGGGACTTTCCCCTGCACTTTTACCCTGCACTTTCAAATTGTGGGAAGGGAATGGGGGAAGGAATTGAACGCCCTATCTTCTTCAGCTAGGGAGAAGTAATGGGTGGTTGCCATCTATAAAAAGTAATATTCATCCATGGATATATGAACTAATTGGAAAAAATTTTTAACTCTACTTTTGTTGCAGAATTTATGGTAAGTGATTAATATTAGTAACTAACTTTCGATCATAAAAATAGTGATAGGACTGGGGCACTTGGGTGTCTCAGTTAGCTATGCCTCCAATTCTTGATGTTGGCTCAGGTCATGATCTTAGGGGCATGAGATCAAGCCCTGCATCGGGCTCTGCGCTGAACATGGAGCCTGTTTAAGATTCTCTCTCTCCCTCCCTCTGCCCTTCCCTCCCAGCTTGAGTGTGCATGCTCTCTCTCTCTCTCTAAAAAAAAAAAAGTGATAGGACTTTAGGGGTACAACAGTGTTCTGATTGTATATATCTTTCTCATCAGCCATCCTGTCTGAAACTCAGGAAACACAGAGTCCCTGGTTGTGTAATAAGAGTATACTTGAAAAGTACCCTGTCCTTATCTGACAACCCAGATGAAGAATACTGGCCCTCAAGCTGCTTTTCTTAAAACTGTAAGTAGTGTTGCTTGGTCATCCTGGATCTGTCTTGAAATATTTTGTTTACCCAAGGCTTCCAAAATGATGGTGTCTTTTTCAAAAACTAGTATGTGTGTGTATTTTTCTTTTTTTTTTTCTGAGTGATTTGTCTTATTTTATTTTTTCCAGATTTATTGAGATATAGGTGACATATAACATTGTGTAAGTTTAAGATGTATAATGTGATATTTTGGGGCACCTGGGTGGCTCCGCCCGTTAAGCTTCTGACTTCAGCTCAGGTCAAGATCCCAGGGTGCTGGGATGGAGCCCTGCATCAGGCTCCCTGCTCAGCAGGGAGTCTGCTTCTCCCTCTCCCTCTGCCCTTCCCCCCCTGCTTGGGCTCTCTCTCTCAAAAGAATAAATAAAATATTTTTTTTAAAGGTTTTTTTAATTTATTCATTCGAGACACAGAGATACAGAGAGAGAGAGAGAGAATATGAGCAGGGGGAGAAGCAGAGGGAGGGGGAGAAGCAGGCCCCCCTCTGAGCAGGGAGCCCGATGCAGGGCTGATCCCAGGACCCTGGGATCATGACCTGAGCCGAAGGCAGACGCTTAACCATCTGAGCCACCCAGGCGCCCCACTAATAAAATCTTTTTTAAAAAGATGTGTAATGTGATATTTTGATACATGCATATATTGTGAAACGTTTGCCATAATAAAGTTAGTTAACACGTCCTTTACCTCACATAATTATCATTTTGTTGTTGTTGTTATAGTGAGAACATTAGAGCTCTCCTGTCATAGCGGCTTTCAAGCACAATAAAGTATTATTAACTGTTGTCATCATGCTGTACATTAGACGCCCAGAACTTACTTATCTTAAAACTGAAATTTTGTTCCATTTGATTAATAGCTTCCCATTTCCACACCCCCCCAAACCTGGCAACCACTACTCTACTTTTTGTTTCTATAAGTTTAATGTTTTAGATTCCACACATAAGTGAGATCATAGAGTATTTGTCTTTCCCTGAATTATTTTACATAGTATAATGCTCTCAAGGTCCATCCATGTTGTTGCAAATGGTAGGATTTCCTTCTTTTTTTATGGCTGAATAGTATTTGTGTGTTTTTCAAGGTGATACTTCTTCATAGACTTATTCCCCTTAATTCATACATCAATCCCATATACATTGAGAGGCTAATGCAGTCATTTATTCATTCAATGAATATTCCCACTTTTTGGAAGTTTCATATTATACCACTTTGCTTTTATGGAAGACCTACATTAGTATCTGTTTTCGCTAACCAAAAGAAATCTGAAGAGGATTTTCATTCTTATGAAAAAAGGCAAAAAGCAAACATAGTGTTCAGTATTTGTTTTGCAGCCAGCCATGATAGAGGCAGCATGCTCCCCCAGCAGTGAGAGTTGCCCTGCCAAGCTCCATCCCCAGCAACTAGGCTCAGCATCTCAGCATCAAGCCACTGTAGCTTTGAACTGTATCTGTGAGCATCTGTGCTTTCTCTCAATTTGTTTTGTTAACTCTTAGTGAGATGTGTCATATGGTAATGGAAAAGCCTAAGAGAGGTTATTTTTTGGGTCTGGGAATACTCAAAAAATTCCATATAAATTAATGGTAATTGCTTCTTTGCTTTACGCCACTTCAGCTTATGAAAGGTTTCACAAGAGCACTCCAGTTTTGGATGGCAGGAGAAACTCGTAGTCCTGAGTGCCTACTGGGTGCCAGGCACCTTGTTAGGGGCTGGGAATGAAACTGAGCAAGCTAGGCATTGCTTCTTAGAGAGCTTAGCAGCCCTAGTTTGTGAATGCAGAAGACAAATCTCGATCCCTTACTTTCTTTTTAAAAATAATTTTTAATTAAAAACTTACATATGAAAAAATATGTGAAAATGTAAATCAAAACCATTTCACACCCATTATGATGGCGATTATTTAAAAAAAATGGAAAACAAGTTTTGGCAAGGATGTGGAGAAATTGGAACCCTTGCTCATTGGTGGTGGGAATGTAAAATGGTGCAGCTGCTGTGGAAAACAGTTTGGCAGTTCCCCAAAAAGTTAGACATAGAATTACCATATGATCCAGCAATTCTACTCCTGGGTATTTACCCCAAAGCTTTAAAAGCAGAGATGCAAACAGATACTTACCCACCTATCTTCGTAGCAATGTTATTTATAATAGCCAAGAGGTGGAAATAACCTGTGAAGGGATAAACAATTTAGAATTCGATTCAGCCTTAATGGAAATTATGACACATGCTACAACATGGAGGAAACTTGAGGACATCATGCTAAATGAAAAAAGCCAGTCACAAAAGGATAAGTATTGTATGATTCTACTTACATGAGCTAACGGGAAAAGGCAAATTCATAGAAATAGAAAATAGAATAAAGTTATTAGGGGCTGGGAGAAGGGAGAATGGGGCATTATTTAATAGGTGCAGAGTTTCTGTTGGGAAGATAAGAAAGTTCTGGAAATGGATAGTGGTGATGGTTGCACAATATTGTTACTATATCCTAATGCCATTGTATTTTACACTTAAAAATGGTTTAAGGGGTGCCTGGGTGCCTCAGTCAGTTAAGTGTCTGACTCTGAAACTCAGCTCAGGTCTTGATCTCAGGGTTTTGAGTTTAAGTCCTACATTGGGCTCCATGCTGGGTGTGAAGCCTACCTAAAAAAAAGGAAGAAAATGCTTAGGATAGTACATTTTAGGTATATGTTATTACAATAAAAATATGTGAATATTTTCCTTTTATCAAAAAATTGAAACATTGTGGACAATGTTAACCAATTGAGCCACTCAGGCGCCCCCCCCTTTTTTTTTTAAGGGTTTTATTTATTTATTTGAGAGAGAGAGAGTGAGAGACAGAGCATGAGGGTCAGAGGGAGAAGCAGACCCCCCGCCGAGCAGGGAGCCCGATGTGGGACTCGATGTGGGACTCGATGTGGGACTCGATGTGGGACTCGATGTGGGACTCGATGTGGGACTCGATGTGGGACTCGATCCCGGGACTCCAGGATCATGACCTGAGCCGAAGGCAGTCGCTTAACCAACTGAGCCACCCAGGCGCCCCGTTGTGGACAATGTTAAAAGCTCCTTTGACCACCTCCTCCATCCTGATCCCAGTTCCTCCTCTTCATTGGTTCTGTGTTTCCTCCTCTAGAGCTTTTCTGTGTATTTGCTTGTATTCATATGTACTTAGCAAAATGACATATATTTTTAGCTTTATCCAAAGAGCATGTCTACTTTAGCATGGAGATTTGAAACCATCATTTGCAGTAAAAATGTTCTAAGCAGTAGGGCTTTCTGCCTTATTAATGGGGACTTTTTTTTTTTTTTTTTGGTGGATGTACATTTTTCAAAGGTTGTCATTTTCTGTCATTTTTCTTTTTTTCATTATATAGCAGGGTCAGTGCCTACAGACCACTTTTGTTTATGCTACAGCTAGCCAGCTCAGGTTTCTCCCATGCCTTAGAGAACACTCTGTCCTTCCTGCTGGATTCCAGGTATAATCTCCCAGTTTCGGGTCACTCTTAACTTTTCCACTGGACTGCTTTAGTAGGCAGCCTCTCATTGTACATAACTTAAATAATTTTCTTATCCTTTCCCCGTTTCCATCCTTGTTTCTAATTTGCCGAGATGTCAAAATCTTCATAAAAATTTTGTTTTATCCTCTCTGTTCAAAGATGATACATCCTCATTTTGAGAAAAGTAAAGCAATTTAGAATGGTTATAAAACAGAATGTGTAACCACATCACCACTTGGATTACATCTTTCTAGATATCTCTGAATGGTGAATACTCACAGGTGCACACAATTTTACACAAACAGGATCATACTATGCACATTGTATGGCAATTGGCTTTCTTCGTTCAAAAAATATATCCTTACAGTTTGCTGTTTCAGTGAATATAGATCTACAGTATCCATTTTATTGGCTCATAATATTTTTAAAATAGTATGACATATTTCTTCTTATTTGATAGAAAACACAAAGAAGCAAACAAAAAAGTGTATCACATTCTCTCAACCTTGATATCCTACATTGAACAGTTTGTAAAATTAAAAGAAACACATCTATGAGATTCGCAAATTTATGCTACAAAAAGTTACAAAATAAAAAGTGCAAGTTGAGAGCCACCCTCCCTTTTCTAGTTCAGTCTTCCCAAGGCCAAATGCCTTTATTAGTTTCTTGTGAATCCTTCCAAACATACAAAATTACTTACATATCTGTATTTCTTTCTCTTTTTTTGTTTTTTAACACAAAAAAGGTCACATTATTATATAGAGTTATTTACTTTGCTTTTTCATTTGATATATTTTGGGGATCATTTCTTAACTGTAAGATAAATATATCTTTTTAACACCTGCATAAAAAAAGTCATTTGTTAGGATATGCCACAATTTATTTAACCAGTTCCCCGTGGTGGATATTTTGGTTGTTTTCAGGGTTTTGTTTGTTTATTATGCAGTTTTGATTTTACTATTACCAATAATGTTGCAAGAACATCTTTGTACTTATCTTAACAAGGCTTGCCAGCATATCCATAGAGAAAATCTTAAGCACTGGGGACTGGGTTACAGGGTGTATGTGTTTCACGTGTAGGTAGAAACTGCCAAATCATCATCCAGAAAGGTTGCACCAAATAACATTATGACAAAAGTGTTCGAGAGTGCTTGTTTCCTAAAATTCCACAAACATTAGTTATCAAACTTTTTAGTTGTTGCCCATCAAATGAGTTAAAATTGTTATTTTGTTCTGATTTGCATTTATTATGCATGAAGTTGAGATACTTTTCAAATGTTCATTGATTGTTTGTAGTTTATTCCTTGAAAATGTTCATCCATCTTCACTACTTTTTTCCCCTAGACTGTTCATCTTTTTAATAGCTATCAGTAGAATTTGTGTGAATAGATTAGGTATTATTGAGCAAGGTAATATTACATTGCTTGGATAATGTATTCAACTAGTTACCTAATAATGAACAGTTAGGATGTTTACAACATCATGCTACA